GCACAAGATATCTGAGAAAGGAATTGAAGTTCATAAGGCAAAGATAGACGTTATGGTCCAGTTGCAGCCTCCAAAAACCGTCAAAGATATCAGAAGCTTTCTGGGTCATGCTGGTTTCTACAAGAGATTCATCAAAGCTTTCTCAAAGATTGCTAGACCACTTACTCGACTGATGTGTAAGGAAACATAGTTTGATTTTGATGAAGAGTGCGTGAAAGCTTTTCAACTCATCAAGGAAGCTCTGATCTCAGCTCCAATAGTCCAAGCTCTAAACTGGGAATATCCATTTGAAATCATGTGTGATACTTCAAACTACGTTGTAGGAGCAGTCTTGGGACAGAAGATCGACAAGAAGCTCCATGTCATCTATTACGCAAGTAGAACAATGGATGATGCTCACGTAAAGTATGCCACAGTAGAGAAGGAGTTATTAGCAGTGGTTTTTGCATTCGAGAAGTTCAGAAGCTACTTGGTGGGTTCTAAGGTGATAGTCTACACTGATTATGCAGCATTGAGACACATCTATGCCAAGAAGGATACCAAGCCTAGACTGCTGAGATGGATTTTGTTACTTCAGGAGTTTGATATCGAGATTATTGATAAGAAAGGTATAGAAAATGGAGTAGCTGATCACTTATCAAGGATTAGGATTGATGATGAAGTCCCCATTGATGATTCAATGCCAGATGAGCAACTTATGGTTACAGAATTCTTTGGAAAGAGTTACAGCGGGAATGAGTTTCACCAATTGCATGTTGTTAAAGGAAGATCTACATGGTATGCTGATCATGTCAATTACTTGGCCTGCGGAGTGGAACCTCCCAACCTGACCAGTTATGAGAAGAAGAAGTTTTTTAGAGATATCAACCACTACTACTGGGATGAAGCTTATATGTACAAGAAAGGATCGGATGGTCTCTTTAGAAGGTGCATTGCTGAGGAGGAAGTACAAGGAGTGCTGGAACACTGTCATGGTTCTGCATATGGAGGGCATTTTGCAACCTTCAAAAAAGTTCCGAAGGTATTACAGGCTGAACTTTGGTGGCTTTCCATGTTCAAAGATGCCCATGGATTCATAACCAAATGTGATCCCTGCCAGAGGATGGGGAATATATCAAGGAGAGAACAAAAGCTTTCCATGAAAAGAAGATTATCACCAAAGACTTCAAGGTTGATGATCAAGTGTTGCTATTCAACTCTCGCCTAAAGCTGTTTCTGGGTAAATTGAAGTCAAGATGGTCAGGACCCTTCTATATCAAGGAGATCCGTCCTTATGGACCAATCACTCTAGCAGGTAAGAGTGGAGATTTCACAGTGAATGGCCAAAAGATCAAGAAGTACTTGGCAGATCAAGATACCGCTTGTATAGTTTTCTGGCAAACGGAAAATACTTAAGTCATTTTTAGAGTTCTCTCTCTCTTCTCTCTCTCTCGTACCTTTTAGAGAGAACAACTGTTCTTTGCTTTTGCCGACCGGATTTTTTCCGGTGAACTGTCGTCCCGAGTGACTCGGGCTTTTGCCCGACATCTTCTGGCTCCATTAGCGGAGATGGCTGACCTTCGTCCGGCATCGTCTGACTTCCACTAGGAGCGTTGGCTGGCTTTTCTTTTTCTCCTTGCCGTAGATCGGTTTCTCTTCCGATCTCTTTATATTTTTCTCTTTCAATAATTGCATTTGATATGAGTTGGTGATAATCTAGTCATGATGGGTTTCTCCGGCTTGTCTCTTTTGCGCTTGTGGGTTGCAGGAATCGTTTCAATTTCAGAGAAATTAAAGAGATTTCAGTCTAAAGCTTGATTTGCAGGAACTGTTTCAAGAGTTTACATCTTGGGTTGAAGGATCGAAGAATACTCCGATGCATATTACAACTCCTTTTCTGTTGTTGCTTTTAGTTGGAGCTCTGCTCGGAAAATTTCGGTAACATAAAAGGAAACTTCGTGCGATTGTTTGTCGGCGATGTCTTCTTTACCAGAAACGGAGCTCGACAGCAGTGGTTGATGTCGGTACACTTTCGATGACTCATCAACATGTGTTGCGGTAGTAATTTCAGGTTGACGCGTGACTTTGGATAGAGTACAAACGCTGAAACTCTTTTTGCGTTCGTTGTAAAATTGGTGGGTTTTTGTTAAGCTTCACTCTTTTATTTTTGCAAAAACAGTATGGGCTTTAAGGCTTTGTAACCTTGGTTCAATAAAATATTTTTAAGAAAAAAAAAAAATGAAAAATGTTTTTAAAAATTTTATCGACAAAAATAAAAATAAAAATGGAAAGGATTAAAAAAAAATCCAAGAAAAAATCCACCAAAGATTGGTGAATTCTTTAATTAGGCATTTCCAGAGGAAGAGACTTTTCGGGGCCGGCCCCTTTTTAAGTTCGTCCAGTCCATTCCAGCTTTTTGTCCTTTCACATCTAAAAGCGGGAGACCCAACAACAACCATCTTCCTCGTGAAAACAGAGAGAAAGAGGAAGAAGAACAGGTCCCTGAGAAATATTCGAACATGAGGGAGATCATTAGCATTCATATCGGACAAGCTGGTATTCAGGTCGGAAATTCTTGTTGGGAGCTTTATTGTCTCGAACATGGTATCCAACCCGATGGCACCATGCCCAGGTCTTTATATTCATCGCTCTAGTTTATTATGACCATCTTTATTGTTTCTGGGTTCGAATCAAAATTTCCCTTTGAGAAATTTGTTCTTGTTATCTGTTATTGACATGGCTCTAATGATTTAGGGTAGTAATAAAACTTTGACAAGTTCAAGTTTTTAAATAATTGGGTTTTGTTTTGCAGTGATAGTACTGTGGGTGTATGTCATGATGCATTCAACACATTCTTTAGCGAGACAAGCTCAGGCCAACATGTTCCTCGGGCTGTGTTTCTTGATCTCGAACCAACCGTCATTGATGAAGTAAGAACCGGCACTTACAGACAGCTTTTCCATCCCGAGCAACTTATCTCTGGCAAAGAAGATGCAGCCAATAACTTTGCTAGAGGCCATTACACTGGTTATTAACATTTTCCACCTCTCTTCTTTTTTTGTTATGAATTTTTCTTTGTCTTGCTAGATTGATCCACCTTTAGGGGCAACCGAACATTGCTATTTTAAACTGAAAACGTATGTGCTTTCGTTTGGTCTAACGGTAATTAGCAAAACATTGTACTTCTTAATCATGTATGTCTGAGTTTTGAGTTTTGTAGGTTATTCTAGAGAGTCTAGCAAAGCTAAGACAAATTTTAATCAAGTAATTGTGTGAGCTTTAATGCATTTTTATTCGGTTTTTGTAAATTGTGTCATGTGTTTTCGTGGTAATACCGGGTACTTCATATCTAGATAATAGCTTCAGAAGTTAAATATAGATATCACTATGTATCAATTCATCTATAAGCTAACAAGTAGGGTATCAATGTGCACATGATTGCTTGCCATAGTAACAATGAACTCTGTCTTTTTTTCTTTGCTCAAAATGGCTCCATTTCATCCATTGCTTATGACGAGAAATGGCATATTTAACCATGACTGGTTCATCATCTGCTAATTTTCATGGTACTGAAATTTGTTCCATCGATGCAGTTGGAAGGGAAATTGTTGACACCTGCCTTGAAAGGCTGAGGAAATTGGCAGACAATTGCACAGGGTTACAAGGATTTTTGGTGTTTAATGCTGTTGGGGGTGGAACAGGTTCTGGTTTGGGTTCTTTACTGTTGGAGCGCTTGTCCGTAGATTTTGGAAAGAAATCTAAACTCGGTTTCACCATATACCCTTCTCCTCAGGTACTACTTCCACAGATTTTCATTGGGTTTTACTGCAGAAATATATAGCATTCGAACTCTTTTTTTCTTTGGTCTCAGGTTTCTACAGCAGTTGTAGAGCCATATAACAGTGTTCTCTCGACTCATTCTCTTCTCGAACACACAGATGTTGTTGTTCTTTTGGACAATGAAGCCATATACGATATCTGCAGGAGATCTTTAGACATTGAGAGGCCTACGTACACCAATCTGAACCGCTTGATCTCCCAAACCATCTCTTCGCTTACAACTTCTCTGAGATTTGACGGTGCCATCAACGTGGACATCACGGAGTTCCAGACCAACCTTGTACCTTACCCTCGGATCCACTTCATGCTCTCCTCTTATGCACCTGTGATTTCATCTGCAAAGGCCTACCATGAGCAGTTCTCGGTCTCTGAGATCACGACTTCTGTCTTTGAACCCTCAAATATGATGGCCAAATGTGACCCAAGGCATGGGAAGTACATGGCTTGCTGTTTGATGTATCGTGGTGATGTTGTGCCTAAGGATGTCAATACAGCCGTTGCTGCCATCAAAACCAAGCGAACAATTCAGTTTGTTGACTGGTAAGAGCTCACACTAGTGTTTCTTTCTCTCTTTAAGTCTTCCTCTACTACACATTTCAAATCTTTGGTCATGTTAAAATTAGGTGCCCAACTGGATTCAAATGCGGAATAAACTACCAGCCGCCTTCAGTTGTTCCAGGTGGTGACCTGGCGAAGGTTCAACGAGCAGTTTGCATGATCAGCAACAATACTGCAGTGGCGGAAGTGTTCTCTCGCATAGACCACAAGTTTGATCTCATGTACTCCAAAAGAGCATTTGTCCATTGGTATGTAGGTGAAGGCATGGAAGAAGGAGAGTTCTCTGAGGCCCGTGAGGATCTTGCTGCTCTTGAGAAAGATTATGAGGAAGTTGGTGCAGAAGGAGCAGAGGATGACGACGAAGAAGGCGATGAGTATTAGAAAGACACAAGACTGGTTTTCCATTGTTTCTTTCTTGTGACATACAACAACTATGTCTATGTGAATGTGATCTCTACAGTTATTTTGTGATGTTTTACGGGTCTCTCCCCTTTTATTTCTCATGTGTGTTTGCCAATGGATTGCATTTATAGTGCATCTCAATACAAAGTTTGAAGGATTATTTCGTGGTTTATTTTGGCACTTCAAATGTCTTCTATATAAGGCCATTACCGCAATGTGTCTTGAGAGAAGATGGTGATTATCAGAAGATGGTAGTGTTCAAATTTATCATCTTCAAAGACAAGGGAATATGCATCCAAGGAAGAGTAAAATGTGCAAAGAAAAACAAAAACAAAAAAATACAAAGGACGCAATTCAAACAAAGTTGCAGATCATACAAGAAAACCAAGATTTCCTGAATGTGAAAACCTACTTTTCATAATCTTCGACCTCATTTCTTCTCACTACCATTCTCAAGCTCCTTCCTTAACTGACGCGAGAAGTCGTCATTGACATCATCATCATCCCAATCATCTTCCCACTGCTGGCTAACTTCCTTGACTTCTTCTTTCTCCAACCAATCTGCAAAACATGAAAAGATCCATTGATATTTACTTCCTTAAACTGTAAAATGACACCAAACACATCCATTCCTCATCAGAACTACACAAGTCATACAATAGAGACCATCTTTATCAAATCTCAAGACTCAACTAACTTGCAAAGCAAAATCTGTTAAAATCGGAAAAAATCTGATCAAGGAACAAGACATGGTGCAGAATCAAAAGGAATCTGTAAACCAAAATCATAATAATCGTAGCCTAGATTGAACTCTAGAGGACCCCAACTCTCCCCAAGCTACTCAATGCCCCAAATAGTTACCAAATCCACAATGACCGTTAGGTTTTAGCTCATGAAACATTGCCTACACATAATCACCAATCAGTTCCTGATAAAAATTGCTCCTTTATCCATATATTTTACCCGTTTTCGCATCAGAACTACCCGATATATCTTTAACAATTCTTCCAATACAAGTGTTAGTTAAATCTTGAGACTCAAAACAGACTAGCAAAGCAGAATCTGATCAAGGAACAAGATACGGTGCAGAATCAAAACCAATCCAGAAACCAAAATCAAAGAAATCGTAGCCTAGGTTCAATTTTAGAGGTTTATACCAAGACCTAATCACCAATGAAATTGTTCTTTATAACCTCGTAGCTTCATCGTTAAAACCATATAACCGATGATGAATCAATTCAAAAATCAAAGAGGCAACTAGTAACAACAAAAACTTCACCTTCGTTGATTTCAAATTCCTCGAACTCATCGTCGTCCTCAAACAGATCCATCTTTACCACTTCAGCAGTCGCCGCCTTCGGTTCTGTCGCCATAGGTTAAAGGAACCAACCAGATCGAGAAAACCTAAGAAGAAGAAGACGAAAACTCGATCAATTTTCCAAGTAATTATCGCAACCCTAACCTCTCTGAGTCTGAGAGCTTTAACGAGAGCTTTTTTTTCGAAGAAGCCAGTAATGATGATTTAGCTTCCAAGCACAATTATAACATCTTGTATCGAACCGGTTAGACCGTGATTTTCTTTTTGTGACGAACCGGTTAGACCGTGTTTTCCTTTTTGTGAATTCGTAAAATTTGATGATTTTTGGAAATTATATAATGAGTGGTAAATTAATTATTTTTAGTACAGTATAGAATTTGAATCGCACCGGTTGGGCAAATATGGGATAATCGCTACTCGACTTCACTTTTGACATGGATTTTCTGATTCATCTTGGATTCTATTTCTGAGAACATGAACAAAAAAATATCATATATCTGTAAGAAAAAAATAGGCCCACAAAAACCTCACTAAGTTCAACAAATTCAATCTAACCTGACAAGAGAAACCAAAGGATCAACAAAACCAAAGAATAAGACGAACAAGAAAAGGAAGAGGCTGAGGAAGCCACAATCTGAATAGGGAAATTGCATTGTCCTTGAGATATATTCTGTGTGGTAATGGTGGCCAACCCTTGGAAGAAACAAGCACTTTCATCTTGATTCTTCACTTGAAAGTACATGTTAAACGCATACGACGCATTCCCATTGGCATCAAGTGTATTGCAGGAAGATCCATAACCAAGCGCTGTGCAATCCGAGAAAGTGCAGGCGAAATCTATGTTAGCCGCCAGTTTTGTCAAATCTTTGGCTTCTGGATTAAACGTACACCACTTGTTGGGTAGATACGGCACGTTTTGTGCACCAATCAACAACTTGTTCTGTCCTTGACCTGACAGATCTATAGGAAACTTTGGTTGCCCGTCGAATTTAAATATTCCCCAATGGCGTTCAAACGGTCCCGGTGCTATACTTTTCGCATCCTCATCGAGTAATCCGAACAAGTATACCTCAATGTAGGTTGGTCTCAATGGAGTGCCTTTGTTTGTTCCAAGCCTTGGTAAAAGCCCGTTGTAGAATCTGTAAGCATTGCCTGCGAAAAAACCGTTTTCAAAATCAAAATTAAAACACTTCATGAAAGATATGATGAATACATCTAAAGCATAGAAAATGTCGGATATCTACCGGAATTCGCGTGTTTGTCACCCTCTGTTGGCCAACCGACTTCTCCAACGATTATTGGCATATCGCCATGACCAACAGCTTTCAAAGACGACACCAAAGTGTCGAAATTGGCATCAAAAACATTTGTGTAATCAATACCGTTGTCATTTATCGGTTGAGCCCCATCGAAGAAGGCATAATTGAGTGGGAAATCATCATTCCCATAGAGACTTAAGAAAGGGTAGATATTAATTGTGATGGGAGCATTGTTCTTGCCAAGAAAGTCAACAATTTGAGTCATTTGACCAATGATATCGGGACGGAATCTTCCTGCAGATGGAACAGGGTTGCTTGCTGGTGAATCGTATACATCCGCGTTTAAAGGGACGGTTGCTTTGACTGAGTTTCCTAGTCCAGCTTCATTTAGAGCGTTTTGAATGTTCGTAAGTGCAGGAAATGTGAGGTTAATGAACGATCCATTGTATGATTTGAGGAATGGCTCATTTCCAACAGCTACAAACCTGAAACATATCCACAAGAGATTAGCTTCACTGAGACATATAAACACATTTTTGTCTAAACATGTTCTGCATTTGACAAAACTGTTACAAGATTTGACTTTTTCAGATATAAACACAGTTTAGTCTAAACATGTTTTGCATTTGAAAGTAGTGTTAAAAGATTTACTTTTTTCAGATATTTCATTTCACAATCAGAGAACACAGCTTTCACCACACTGAAATTCCTAAACAACCAATCTTCAGAAACACACATATATACTCACATTTTGTCTATTACTCTGAAATAGACATAACTCAAACATGTTTTTGCATTTGGCAATTTCATACACTAAACAATCATGGGTTTATGAGGTTTGGACAACATTATACAGCATTAATTTGACCTTTAGACAACATTATAACCAATGAGTAGTAGCAATCAAACTGAGACATAACAGAGAGGAAGAGAGAAACTCACGTGATATTGACACCACCATCGAAGTTATAACGAGTGACATTCTTACGAACCCAATCTTTGGCCCGGTCGTAACTGGTCATAACCTTAAGCTGATCATTTGGAATAGCGACCATCACTTCAAGACCCGAGCCAGCGAGTGCACCCATGGTTGTCTCGTCTGCGTCAAAAAGCTTCACCTTGTTGATGTTATTGTCCTTAAGCATCTGAACCACTGTCTTTGGAGGCAGCTTATGTGTAGCCATTGTTCCCCAATTCACACCCAACCCATTTACCAAAATACCCAAATAACCAATTACGATTACGAATCCGACGACGATGGCTAACAGATTTGACATCGATCTTCACCTGAGAAAGATTAAAAGGTGAGATTTTTGCCCAAAATTCTAAAATCTCAGTTTGACAAAATCCACATTTGGGAAATGAGAAACTTTTAGAGGACCCATTACCTCCTTAGATATGGAAACTGATAAAAACGCGTACAGAGAGAAGAAGAAACGCGTGGAGACTGTAGAGAAACCTAAAAAGGTAAACTTTTTGTTTTTGGGAAACTAAAAGAGAGATAAAAGTTGGAGATATTTTTGGTTGAATTGTGAATAAATGATGAGTTTTAATAGAATAATGACGTTGTGGGTGGATTTATAACGGCTCTATTTCTCCGGAGAGAACATGGGCCAATGCTCGTTCAGTCTTTGTCATCATAACAACTAGTAATAAAACAAATTATTTCATGGGACATACGGTTACCGACATAAAAATTTTAAAATTTTTATGCATCTTTGATCTAATTCCTTGTGATGAAATATTTATAAACTGGCGAAAAAAAAAATATATATATATATATATATATATATAAACTAGGCCTGTATGATATAATCCAACCCAAACCGAACCAAAACAAGGTTCGAAAACCAATCAAGATCATATTTTGGTTTAATCGGTTAAGTGTTTCTACATTAGAAAAACGAATTTCGTTAGAACCTTAGACTTACATTTTATTAAAAGTTTAAAACCCTTTGAATCAATAGTACCTTTACATAAAAACAGAACCTGAACAAAAACAAAACTCATCATATGAGAAGGCTCTGAACTACATTTTGTTTCATTTTGATAGATATACTTTGCTAAACCGAAAATCCCAATGGTCTAAACCCCTGTTCAAAAAATCGGGCGCCTAGCCGCCTAGTCGGTGATCGGCAGTCAACCGCCACGATTTTAATCAAATCGGACTATTTAATCGGTAAACCGATTTTGCGGCCGTTTAATAATTAAACGTTGAAAATCGGTTAAAAGTCACCGATTTATTATAAAATTTTATACTGAATTTTGACCAAAACTCAAAAATTGATTGGGCCTACATAAGCCCACACGAGCTATACTATGACAAATAGAAACAATTAGTAGGGTCATTTATAAGAAGTCGATTTCATGCTTCCTTCCTACTATTACCGATGTGGGACTTTGTGATTTTGAGTTTTGTAGAGATACTACTTTCACATAACGTGGCAACTGGCAAGTGATATCAATTCAGTAGTCAAATTAATAATTTGAATATATTTAAGTTCTTTATTTTTTTTCCACCAAAATCTATTTATTGGTGGTCACTATATTTAGGTTCATATATTTTTTTTTAACGTGGATGTCATTTAGTTATTATTAGTGACCGTTCAAATCTGATACTTTGTTCTTTTTCGTCCATATATTTAAGTTTCAAATAAGTTTTTTAAACTAACAAACTGTTTTCATATTAATAATAGATGATATTAGTCAAATGTACATATATTATATTTGATACATATATGTATTTTGAATATATATAATTAGGATGAATGTCAATTTGATGTGAAATTAAATTCGCAAAATTGATGATAGATGTTTTAAACTTTTTTCATGGTTTTTGTTTTATAAATTTTGCAAACATGTTATCAATTGCCTATTTGTATAATAAATTCATAACACTATAAAATTATTATAAAAATAATACTATATAATGATCAAAAACTAATCCCCGATTAATTTTCGATTAATCTCCGATTTTCTGTCTAGGCGCTAGGCGGTGCCCGGCCGCCCGACTAGCGCCTAGCGATTTTTTGAACATGGGTCTAAACCAAACACCTTTTGTTAACAGTAACACAAATGTGTTTCGAAACCTAAATAAAGATATACCATTTTTCTTTTTTTTGTGCAAAACTTAATAAAGATATACCAAAGACAAAGTATTGATGCGGAAAAAAAAAAGAAGACAAACTATTGCAAATTTGCAATATCAGCTAGAAGCCTATGTTTAGACAATCGTCTGTTTTCAATGCATTAACCTTCAAATAATCATGAAAATCAAACTTCAAAATTTTTTTTTTTACCGAAAAATTTCATTGATATAGTGACAAGTTTGCCCAATGACTACTAATATTATAGACATTATCCAGCAAAATTACCAAATTTTACAATGTTAATATGCTGATTTCAAATTAAATATTTGGTTCTACACAAGCTTCAAATCCACAAGTGCCAAAAGTCTATGTGAGTATAGTTACTCGCTAAAAGGGCCTAAAGAAAAACATCAAATCTTATCACAATTCAAAAATTGTTTGAAGACACAAAGTTTTCTAAAAGTATGTTAACATTTTAATATATCTTCTAAAGGTCAAAATCATACACCAATGACAAAAAGTCTCGTCTCTAAGTTCATAGTAAAATAAATAATAATGCATGCAAAGAAACAAATGACAATGTAAATTATATATTTCAAAGGATTGTAATGAACCATTACATAACCAATGTTGTGTTAGCCCAGTGGTAAATCTTCCAGGTGGAAGTACTGAGTTCGACGCTCATTGGGAGGGATCTCTTCGATCCGAAGAAGATGAATCTAACTTGGTGTGGGTCTCGCCTCTGGAAGATGTAGGGCCTTCGGACTTGAATTTCCGGATATTCAAAAAAAAAAATGAACCATTACATAGTATATAACACTCGTGATACTCAATAATAGGATAGTTGGATGAGACTTGATCCAAAAATGGGTTTGAAGTAACTTCGTGTTGGGCCTCATATTCATTAAAAATGCTTTTGCAAATTAATTAGGCCCTTTAGAACACCACTTTTTTGTACCATCTTAATAAAAGAAACTAAAAATGACAAATTCAGTTTTAAAAGAATCCATTATTAAGAAAACATTGTGAATAGATAACTCTTACATTGTGAATAATCCACTACTACTGATAACATGGATTTTTGCTATATTTGCTATTGTTTTCTTATGTTTTAGGGAGTATTTGGAGTGATTTCAGAGCCAAGAAGGTGATATTCAAGTATTTATGGAGTCAAGAAGGTTTTAAGAGTTTTTGAGCATTAAAGACCAAAAGGCGATCAAAACCCGTTTCAAGATAGTTTCTGTACGTCAGAAGTATGGCATCTTTTAGAGGTCTTGCCGATTAGCAAAGCAAGAGTTCTTGGTGGATGTGGAAAGCTAGAAGAGTCAAGATTCTCCTCAAAGTAGAATCATAGAAATCCAATAAGCCATTCAGAAGTTATGACCAGAAGAGTTAAGACATGTCCTGGCCAGAAGCTATGCAACCGTTTCGGAGCTTCAAGGCCACACCGGTCATAAGGCTCGAGCCCGGGCTGCCTTCCACTCTCACCACCGGTCACTACTGCCTCTACCCGGTCCAGGAACTCGAGTTTGCACTTAACCTAATTCACAGGAAAATACGTTTTTACCTCTAAACTGACTCCTTGGTCTCCAAGACCTATAAATACCCGATGAAAACCCTAAACCTTGGTGTGCTTCAACCATCCTCCACCGAGTTCGTCCCTGCCCTCGCCGTGAGCTCCAGCCGTCGGCCTAGAGCTTTGAAGATACCAAATCTCTCTCTTTTCTCTTGTTTACCCTAAGATCTATTAAGGTGAAGTCTTTACCTTAGACTGGCAGCTCCTCCATTACATTAAAGCCTGGCAGGAAACTTCTCCCAGTATTTTAAGAGATTTAAGGATTCCATTTATTTCGTGTAAGCTTACATTAACTCACAGCTCCTCCATTATAAATTTGGCTCTCTTCCTCACCCAGTTCCTACAATAAGATTGTTTCTAAAACCAACAAATCAGTAAGATTTTTTCCAAAACAAGAAAATCAATTTGACAAGTAACAATGAATAAAATCTTGTTTCTTTACTTTCCATTTCAATGAAATATCGTTGGTAAAAGTTGAGATGTTGATCTCGGGATGCTCTTCTCGACAAACTCTTTCTTGCGTTTTTCCTATAAAATTGTATACAAAAGAGATTTAGAAAATAATTGAAACTGGATCTGATTATTTGAGAATAGAAAGAATGAAGAAACAAGGCATTTCGGGTTTGTTACTGTCAATATTATCGTTCTTCTTCTTTCCATTTTCATCACTTTCTTATCTGCAAGAAACATTCACTACAGGAAATGAGGGTATTAATAGCAGTACAGTATAGCGTTTTTAACATTTCTGCTATAGTTGAGTTTTAGGAAAATTTACATAGCGTTTTCATAAAAGCAAACGCTATGATAGAATGAGCGCGAAAATATTTGATATTGGCGCTTAGTTTTTCGTATAATAATAGTATAGATGACACTAAAAACGTCATCGTAGAGGTAACCGGGAAACTGAAAAATTAATTAGCTCCAAAATTTTAGTAAGTAAAAAAAAAAAGAAAAAACAAAATATTGAAGACGTACGAGAAATAGAAACAAATCTAAAAAACTTTTGCTTCCTCCCTCACAGCCGATCCCAATTTGTTCGTCTCTTCTTTCACTCTCATCCCTCTCAGTCTCAATTCCTCTCTGTCTCAATCCCTCTAGATCTCAATCGTCAGTTTCATGGATCTACAAAGCCCTCTTAATCGATTTTGGCTCGAATCACAAATTTGGAGTTTGATTTTATTTGTTGCTCGCTTTCGTTGACTTAGATTCATGAATAGGTTTAGATTTAGTAGCTATGGGTTCATAATTTCAATTTTGTCTTACCTATATTGTTCCTCCTTGGTGATGTGATATAGAGTTTGTTAAATCCTCCGCGTTATAGTTTCTATTTTTTTGATGGGTTTCTTTTGAATTCTGTGTAACAGGTGTACGGTTTCTCTTGAGGTTCGTTGATGGTTTGAAGAATGAAGAAGATTCGGAACACAAATACCGCTTGACATAATGGCAATCCGATTCTAGTGATGGTCTTTGACAGTCCACAAAGTGATTTGGAATTTGCTTCAAAAGTTTATTCATATATTGTAACAATTTAGATCGGGAAAGGACTGAAATTTTGGTTTTGTTGTTGCAGTTCTTTAGATGGAGCATATTTTCTTCGCAAATTTGGATATGATGCATGACAAGAACTCGTAAGTTCCAACCTTTGATTTACTTCAAGGGAATTTTCAATTAACCAACCTATGTTTCTTATAGTTTGACTAACAGACTTTAAAATGCTTATTGAAGGAGCCTGGAAAGAGGTAAATGGGTACTAACTCTTGTTATTCTTAGACTAGATCGTGCTGCATTTTATGTCCTATGGAGTCTAAAAGGTAAATGTATCAGTTCCTAAATGTACTGAGTTATTTAGCTTTATTGTTTAGGTAATATATATATGCAGTGTACTTTTCTTATAACTTCTACAGCTTCTAATATGTGTTCTCGTTTTTTTGTTCAATACCCTTATAGAGAACCAGCTCGGTGTTTGATCAAAACTAGACTCAATACAGCTCTAAGATTCATAGTTTTGTTCTTATTGGTGGAAGAACTCAATCTCTTATGTTGATAACTTGAGTGTTTGTTCAATTTTTGATGATAATCTTTATTATTTGTTCTTCGCTTTTTGTGACCATGATGATGCTGAGATTGTTTATGGGATGGTGCAGGTCTGCAGGAAGTTTTCATAAATATAAAAAGGAGGTCGACACATCTTGATCTTGTTGTGTGATGAAACGACATAATCTTTGTGTGGATTTAGCCTCAAAAGAACAATGCACTTGTTGGAGCTCACATTGTTCAGCCAATGAAGAAAGCTTTGAGCCATTAACAGATCACAATTTGTGGTCTTCGTTAATTTTATTTTTTTTTTATATACCATTTATCAATTTTGATCTTTCAATTTTTTTCTGTCTTAGTTATATGTATGTATCAATAAAGAAAAAAAATACAACAAATATTTGTTTCTTAAGAAGAACATAAAATAGAATAAAAATAATTAAACTACTACAAAACAAAAAATAATAACGAAATTTAGTGAGTTTTTGATTTAGAGTTTAGGGTATAGATAGGGTTTCGGTTTGGGGTATATAATAAAATTTTATAATTCTGTTAAGTGTTAACAATAAAAATGAATTTTTATATGTACTTATGAATATTTAATTTAAGGTATTTAAATTCAAAATTGTAAAATAACTTTTTTGCTAATTATCAACGAAGAAAAAATAAAGTATAATAATTTTTTTCAATATTCATTTGTGAATTATACATAATAAAATAAGATAAAAGTTTTTAATAATTTGTTTGCATTTTATTTTGTTAATTGATAAATGGTAAAAAAAAAAAATCAAAATTGAACCCTATACCCTAAATCCTATACCCTAAACCTTCTAGGGTTCAATCTTTAAACATATTTACTATTTATCAATTAACATAATAAAATTCAAAAACATAACAAAATTATGTATTACTAAGTACATAAAATAACAAAATTGAAAACATATTACAAATATACAAATATACAAATTAACAAATAAGAACCGGATAGTTATAAGTATTTGAAGATTTCATCTATATATATATATATATATATATATATATATATATATCTATTATACTATTTGTGTTTAATGGTATAATAGGGTATAGGGTTTGAAGTTTAGGGTATAGAGTTTAGGGTTTAGGGTATCTTTCTATAATAAATCACAAGTCAATTCTAAAAAAACTGCAACCCTCTCCATCCTGTCTTAAGTCCCAATTTTTACATTTTCAAATTTCTAAACAATTAAACTTTTGCTATTCAACAAAAAAAAAAAAATACTAAAAAAAAAATTTCCTTGCAACTGTTTCCCCTCTTCACCCCCACGATCTCAATATCTCCTCTCTGTCTCTCTTCTTCAACAATAGAACAACAACATTATTTCATACAAAAAGCTTACAAATTTCTTTCTTCCTTGCTCTTTCCTACAACTTCTATCGGGTAAAAATTTTCAAGTTGCTACATGTTCTGATCTTAGAGTTTCATCAATCTCATGTCTTTTCAAAGAATCAAATCAAATCTTCTTCTTCTGTTTTTTCCTTCTCATCAATCAAATCAATTCATTTTTTTTTCTCTTTGTCAACTGTAAAGAGAATTGTAACCACTATACGTTATCTGCCATTGATAGTTTATTCTCAGACTGAATAACCGAAAAGCGAAACTCGCTCGGACGAACAAGCAAACGGGGACAGTTCGTGATAATTACAGCTCCGGGGAATTACTAGAGAGTCCTGGAGATGAAAACACTTGGCAGCAGAAACCATCAACACCATTTAAAGATCTGACTGCATCAAAAACCCCGAAAACAGGAGAGAATCTGTTGAGATCATCGTCATCATCAGAAGAAGGGATAAAGCAAGGGCAACAAGTGAGGCTTATGGATGAGAGAGGAGACGAGATCGGGAAAGGACGGGTGTTGAGAACAGACGGTGAATGGTACGGTTTAAGCCTGGAGACAAAACAGATTTGTGTAGTTGATGTAATGAAGCTTAGTGAGTCATAAGTTTTATTTGGTAAAGAAAAAAATTAATTGGTTTATCTATAAATTTGATTAAAGTTTTGCCCCGTACGGAGTACGGGCTTAATACTAGTTGAGTATAAGAGTATAGGATATATATATATATATATATATATATATATATATATATATATATTATTTAGTGTTATTAAAAATAGAAATATAAAAGGATTAACGAATTTAACCACTTTCAAAATTCTAAACTGAAAACTCAAAATATTAAAATTTAAAAGCCAAACCGAAATTATGAATCCTAACCCATAAACTTTGTTTCACACATAAAAATTGAAAGAAAACTATAAAATTAAAATATAATTATTTTGCAAATGAAGTTGATTATGAAATATGTTTTCAAATTGTTTTATGATATCCTCTAGTTTATCTTTTATCAATTTATCACATATTAAAAATTAATCTACTAATTAGAATAACATAAGGAAAAACAAAATAAACAGACTTGTTTCTGATTGGCTAATTCTTAGAGGTGAGGATCACACCTCATTTGATATCTACCGTTGATAACAGTAAAATCAACGGACGGATTTATTTCTCTCACTTAACATTCTCTCATCTTCCTCGGGACTTGCACACTTCTCTACGAGATCCCTGGCTTCCCTCTATCTCTCTAGCCATGGCTGGCTTTCACTTATACCTTGTCCTCCGGTTTTCTCTCCATGCGGAATCGAGAATCGTATCCTTACAATCGGCTTCACTCACTGCTCGACCGATGTTCACCTTGTTACCGAAATCAGGAGGATTGAGAATCCGTCTTTCTCACTCTCTGACTTCGTCGACCTCGATTAATCCTAGGGTTTCTCGATTATGATGTCATCTGTGAAGCTCAGGAAACTACTTGGTTCTCGCTCTCTGCCATATAACTCTTCTTGTTCGATTTTGTTTGATTTACTTGGTTCTCGGTTTCTTATGGGCTTGATTCGTACTTGGGTTGATTTTGATTTTGATAAGTTTTGTATGAACTGATATCGTGTTGTTGATTGATTGGTGTTGATTCTGTTTCTCTAAGTCTTAAGAACTGTTTGACGTATCTCGCCAAGTTCTTTGCTTATTAAATTTCAGCTCATATTGATATAGTCTCTGATACTTTGGTCTTAATATTGTGTTTGAATGATTACTTAAGGCAACGAATCACATTTTCAATTATTAATATATTTCGTTCGTATCAATCCTTAGTTGGATTATATGTGTGTTTGCTTCGAATTGAATGTTACTTGCGAATAAATATTGCTTCTGTTCTTGCTGGATTGATCTGAAGATTTTGGTTGTTGAAAATCCGAATGGTTTTGGTAGATGCTAGGGTGAATTTTGATCAAGTTATGTTTATGAGACTTTAGGGTTCTTGGGACTTGGTTTTTATTAGGGATGTGAGGTTTTGCTTTGTATTAAGAGCTCTGTTGGATCACTGGTATTCATGAGATTTATTTTTGTTTCTGGAACAGGAACTTGAAACTTAGAACTCACCCAAACCAGAAGTGCCTTCATCATCATGTAGGAAGTGGGACAAGGATGAAAGTGCCACTTTCTTTGAAAAGCCGAAGAAGCACCTGGATGAACACATGACTTGTTTCAAAACCACCATGAACAAGGTTCTTTTTCTCTGTCTTTCGATTTTGTTTTGTTGGCAGCTAGCTATTGATGCGATTTGGTTTTCGTATCTTGAAAATTTTGGTACTTGTTTCAGCCTAAGCAAATTCATGAGATCAAGGACTTGCTTCCGACAGCAAGAAGGAGAGATGCTCGATCTGTGACGATGATGAGAAGCAAATGGAACTATTTAATGGAATTAAGATTTGAATTGTTTTGGATTTGATAAATGCAGATACCTTAATACCATATGTACTTTTTACTTTTTAATTTTGTATTTCACTTTGTAATGTAATATTTTGTATATTATGAATTCATATAATGTAAAAAAAAAATATGATATTTTTAATATGTCAATTTATCCAAAAACCTAGTAAATTAAAATTAAATTGAATTAAAAATTAATAAAAACGAAATAATGTAGATAATTTGTATAAATACTGTATGAAGACAATATTATATAAATACAAAAATACTGTATAAATACAATCTTGTATAAAATACAATACGTATATCATTACCAAAATAAAATATATTACGTATATATATTTTTCCAAATAATTAAATATATTAATAGCATATAATTTTCGCTATTGTTTATTTAAATATTGCATACCAAAAGACGCTATGTTAGCAAATATTTTAATAGCAGTTACAAAAACCGCTATGTAAAATGTCTGATCTACTATAACGGGCGCAGATATAGCGCTTTCAACAACGCTATGGTATCGTACAATAGCGGTTTTACTATGCTGTTGATACCCTCATTTCCTGTAGTGATTTGTTGTTATTAGTGAATGACTTAGCTCAAAATGATAATTCTTTGCCACTTGCAAATCGAGGTTACATTTTTTGGAAATTCAAATGCAGTTCAAGAAATTACCTGAAAGCAGGCGAGAAGGCACCAACAACACTACCCTTGTAATTTCTCATCATCCTCCCCGTTCTCACATCAAAAACATTTGACTCTACTTCTAAAAGTTAGACAAAAATCAGAATCATGTTTCATAAAAATGAAATACGAATAAAAGTTAGAAAGAACATGAGCAAATCTGCATTCATACTTGGGTTGCTTGGTTCTTGGCCATGGTAAGTTACCAGCTATTTCTCACCAGTCGAGCGAGAAGTCAAATAGTTTTGCTTTCAGAGGAATCAACAAGGAAAAAATCAAACTTCATGCCAACAGAAATCAAAGGGAAGCAATTAAAAAAAAACTGAAAGTATCATCACCACCCCAAAACAAGCAGTTTCACAAGGTATGTGCCTAGAGGAGAGCAATGCACATTCTCTGACCAATACTTCATAGAATGAGAATATCATTATTTTAGATGATGGTAAAATGGCATATAACGTTTCTCTAAAAGTCAAAGTAGGAAATATAGGATACACACACAAAGATGTTAGAAACTTACAAGTTTCAAGCTTCTCTTCCTAACATCTTGCCATAAAAATTCAGTACCAGTGCCAGAACGAATGACTAATCTTTCGTTTTTTCATCAGTAAGCCACTTTTACAAATTCTCCTGAAAAGGCACACCATATAAGTAACGATAACAAGCACCTCATGATGTGATAACACATACCCCAGGCAGATATGGCTTAGTTCAAGGAGGCTACAATTCGTCCTTCACATTTATCAACCTGTCAATATCATCGAACATAATTTCGTCTAAGATGATGAGGTCATCGACCTAAGCTGTGAATCAAACCGAGACAAACCAAACATTCCCGAAGTTAAGGATGGACCAATGACTCGTTCTAAGGCAAGAAGGCTCAAGGAAGGGTTTAACATGGCTGTAGAGACTCTACTCAGCACCATGGAACTTGGAGAGATGTCCAGAAACACTCAAGTATCTACGACTTTTCAAGAAAGCTCAAGTGCACCCGATTTGGACCTAACAGAGGACTTTGCACGTCTCAGCCTCAAGGAAGCAACTCCAACCGAAACCCATTGTAAGTCTATTTCATTGGCAGGTATAGGAGCTAAAAACATCAAGATTTCAACAAAGAACACTTCAGAGCTGCAAGATACGTCCAAGACAAGCAATGGATCCAACAAGCTTCAAGTAGAACAAGAAGACAAGCTTGAAGGTAATCACGTGGAAACTCTTGAAGATCTTCATAAATTAGAGCTCAAAGGACTCCAAGAGGAGGAAACCATCAAGGAAATCAAGCTGGACGGACCAGACCCAGACAAGACTACTTCAGCCTCAAGCAAGCTCACTTCAAGCCAAAATCATGTATTTTCAATATTTATGATTTGTGCAGGTAAGAATGAGTTCTCCTAGTGGTTTAAGCATCCCAAGAGACCAGGGAACGAGCCCTAGCAAGTGAGCACCGTAGTTAGCTTATTTTTGCTTATTTTCCATTTTTGTTGTTTAAGTACTTTCCTTTTCTTTTAATTTCGAATAAGTCCTGTTGCTGTGTCGTTTTTGGTTATTTGAGTCGCCCTAGGGCTAGCTGAAGAACCCTTTATAAGGTTCCCCTGCAGCTTTGTAACATTCACGCTTTTTCTCATATCAATAAAGTAGAACTTTCTTCCTCTCAAGCCGTCGCCTTGTAGAGACTATTGCTTGTTCTTAGGTTGTGTGATTCACCTAAGCTCGAGTTTACCTTGCTGTATCAGAGATCCTTCCATCATCTCTGTGGTGCCATCGATCCACTTCACATCCATCCTTTTGATCTCACAAGAGAGAGCTTCACAGCCAGCTTGTTTGATTCCGCATCGACTTCAGGCCTCATCCCTTTGAGTCTTGTCGTATAAATTCACCCACTGAAACTTAAGAGAGTGCGCTACAGCCAGCTTAAGTTTCCCATCGATCCGCCTCGTATTCACTCGTCCACGCCTCAAAACATTAAGCTCGACCTCACGTCGAGTTAGCCGGTCGAGTCCACCACTCGAGTCAGTTCTTGCGCTCTTATAAGTCTCCTAACCGAGTCTTATATCATTTTGGTATCAGAGCCTAAGGTTCCTACCTCAGGTTCTATCCATTCTATCCCCTAGAATTCAATTAGCTTGTTTTAAAATTCTTGTTGCTTGTTTCTGCTTCTGTTTCATTATAAAAAGAAAAACCCTATAAACACAAAAAAAAAAATCGCTTTCTTGGTTATTGTTTCTTATAGTTTGCTTATCTTTAACCATAAAAACCCCATAAAAAGTTTCGTTTGATTCTGTTTTCTAGGTTGTTAGTTTTGACTAGTGTCTGTTTCAAGTCTTTTTTTTTATTAAAACCAAAAATCAAAAGAAATTGTTTACTTGTTTTTGTTTCGTTTTATTTGTTTCTGTTTGCATTTAGCACTTTTCAATTCTGTGGTACCTTTAATTTCGTGTTGTTTTTGTTGAGTGCAAGTGACAACAACACCTAAGGAGTACTATGGCTGATGGAGATGAAGTCCCCCAGGATGCTATCCTGCGAATGCTCACAGCTATGAGAGAGGAGATGAGAGGAATTAGAGACCGGGTTGGAAGATTGGAACAACCTCCACCACCTCAGCCTAGAGCTGGAGAGAGGAATGTTCAAGCTAGGAGAAACATCCGTGAAGAGGATGATGAGATTCTGGACGTGGAGGAAGATGACATACCACCTGATCCTTTGTTGCGCCAACACCAACGAAGAGAAGACCCTCTGAGAATGAATCCAGCTAGACGAGTAGAACCTCGTGAAACTTACAAAGACCTGAAACTAACACCACCTACTTTTGCAGGAAAATCTGATCCAGAGGTATACATGGATTGGGAGAGACGTCTAGAGCATATATTTGAGTGTTATAGCTATGGAGAACGCAAGAAAGTAGCTGTTGCAGCCGCGCAGCTCACTGACAATGCACTCGCATGGTGGGACAGAAACGTGGCTGAGAGAAGGAGGCAACGTTTTGGACCAGTAGTGACATGGGGTGACATGAAATACCTTCTACGGCTTAGGTATGTTCCTGAACACTACCATAGAGACTTACAAAAACGTTTTCGTAAGTTGTCTCAGGGAACCAGAAGCGTAGATGAGTACTTTGAGGAATTTGAGATGCTTATGAACTCCCTAGAGCTAGAGGAATCTGAGGAAGCATTGATGGCCCAATTCATAGACGGCCTGCATGAAAGAATTCAAAGGAAGGTAGAGAGAGCACAGTATAGTGGATTGCATGAGCTGTTGCATCTAGCTGCCCAAGTAGAACAAGAACAACAGATAAAGCGTAAGACGAACTTCACCAGTCGCAACAAAACATCTCAAACATGGGCGTCTAGCAGCTCAAAGCCTGTAGATAAAGGGAAGAACGTGGAGATTGATTCTCGGTTCAAGAAGAACAATGCTGAGACATCCAAAACCAACAGACCTGAGCAAGGTAAGTTTCCCAATAATAACTCAAGAGCTCGTGATATAACTTGTTTTAAGTGTCAGGGAAGAGGACATTACGCAAGAGACTGCCCCAACCAGAGAGCCATGATCATCACTAATAATGGCGAGTATGAGTCACAAGACGAGCTAGATGATGAAACCATTGAGAAAAGTGATGACATTGAGTATCCAGACAGTGGGGAAACTTTAGTGATTCGAAGGGTACTTAGTGCATTTGTGAATCCTGAGGAGAGAGTACAAAGGGAAAACCTCTTTCACACAAGATGTACAGTGAAAAACAAGGTATGTAATCTTATCATAGATAGCGGGTCTTGTACTAATGTTGCTAGCAAGTATATGGTGGACATGTTAGGTTTTGAGAAGACTAGACATCCTAGACCATACAGACTACGTTGGCTTAATGATCAAACCGAGCTAAAGATATCCGAGCAAGTGTCTATACCGTTTAGTGTGGGCAAATACCAAGATGAAGTCACTTGTGACGTGGTACCAATGCAAGCGGGACACCTTCTGCTAGGGAGACCATGGCAGTTTGACAGAGCCTCACAACATGATGGACGAACAAACCACTACTCTCTTACACATAATGGTCGTAAGTATAACCTAGCACCTCTTAGTCCTTCTGAAGTTCATGAACTTCAAATTCGGATGAACAAAGAGGTAGAAGTAAGAAAACCAACCCTTTATTTATCTTCTGGAGCTATTTGTAAAACCCTTAGTGCCCAAGGCACTGTACTACTAATGATGTTTAAAGAGTGTCTAAGCTCAGGTATAAGTGATCTGGAAATCGCACCAACGGTTCAGCCCCTCCTCAACAAGTACAAGGATCTATTTCCCGAGGAGATACCCCCTGGTTTACCCCCAATTCGAGGCATAGAGCACCAGATTGATCTTGTTCCTGGCTCAGCCTTACCCAATAAGCCAGCATATCGAATGAATCCTGAAGAAAGCAAGGAATTAGAAAGACAAGTAAGGGATTTAATGGATAAGGGTTACATTAGAGAGAGTTTGAGTCCGTGTGCTGTACCGGTACTCTTAGTTCCCAAGAAAGATGGTACATGGAGGATGTGTGTGGACTGCCACGCCATCAACAACATCACCATCAAGTACAGACATCCAATCCCACGCTTAGATGATATGCTAGACGAATTAAGTGGTTCAACCATTTTCTCCAAAGTTGATCTGAAAAGTGGCTACCACCAAGTCAGAATGCGTGAGGGAGATGAATGGAAAACCGCATTCAAGACCAAGCAGGGTCTATATGAGTGGTTAGTTATGCCCTTTGGCTTGACTAACGCACCTAGCACTTTCATGCGACTAATGAACCAGGTTCTTCGTTCTTATATCAGTAAATTCGTAGTTGTTTACTTTGATGATATTCTTATCTACAGTAAGAACCTAAATGATCATTTAGAACATCTGGAACTAGTGCTTAAAACACTTCGAAAGGAAGGCCTATATGCTAACCTTAAGAAGTGCATGTTTTGTACTAACCGTCTCATTTTCTTAGGCTTTGTAGTGAGTGAACAGGGACTACAAGTCGATGAAGAAAAGATAAAAGCTATCCAAGAATGGCCTACTCCTACCACCATTGGACATGTGAGGAGCTTTCACGGCTTAGCAAGCTTCTATAGGAGGTTTGTGAAAGATTTTAGTACGGTGGCTGCACCACTCACGGCTGTGATTAAGAAAAATGCACCATTCTCATGGGGAGCAGCTCAAGATACTGCGTTTAACACCCTCAAGGATCGGCTTACACATGCACCTGTTCTAGCTTTACCGGATTTTGAAGAAATGTTTGAGGTAGAGTGTGATGCATCAGGTTTGGGCATTGGAGCGGTGCTGCATCAAAGGAAGAGACCCGTGGCATTTTTCAGTGAGAAGCTAAGCGGAGCCACATTGAACTACCCTACATATGACAAGGAGCTGTACGCCTTGGTTCGTGCATTGGAAACATGGCAACACTACCTTCTATCTAAGGAGTTCATCATTCACACCGATCATGAGACACTTAAGCATCTACGAGGTCAGACTTCACTTAAGAGAAGACATGCTAAGTGGCTGGAGTTCATAGAAACGTTCCCATATGTTATCAAATACAAGAAGGGAAAGGAGAACGTTGTAGCAGATGCATTGTCTCGAAGATATGCCTTGATATCAACAATGGAGGCACGTGTAATGGGTTTTGAACACATTAAGGACCTTTACAAAGATGATCCAGACTTTAAGGAAGCTTATGAGGCTTGTGGGAAGGGAGCGTATGGATCATACTACCTTCATGATGGGTTTCTGTTTCGTGACAAGAGGTTGTGTGTACCACAAGGATCACTTAGAGAATTACTATTAAGAGAAGCACATGGTGGAGGCCTAATGGGACATTTTGGTGTTGACAAAACGTTGGCTGTAGTAGTTGATCATTTATTTTGGCCTCACCTCAAGAAAGATGTGGAGAAACACTGCTCTCGTTGTGTCATTTGTCACAGAGCTAAATCCAGGTTACATCCTCATGGTCTTTATTTACCTTTACCTATACCTAACGCCCCATGGGTGGATATATCTATGGATTTTGTCCTAGGACTACCAAAGATAAGGCATAAGGATTCAGTTTTTGTCGTCGTGGATCGGTTCTCAAAGATGGCCCATTTCATACCATGCGACAAGACCAATGATGCCACACAAATCGCTGATCTATTCTTCAAAGAGGTGGTACGTTTACATGGTATACCTAGAACTATTGTTTCTGACCGAGATTCTAAGTTCCTAGGTCACTTCTGGAGAACCTTGTGGAGAAAGCTTGGAACCAAGCTATTGTTCTCTACCACTTGTCATCCTCAAACGGATGGACAAACCGAAGTGGTAAACCGTACCTTATCTACTTTACTTCGAGTCACTCTTGGTAGAAATCTGAAAACATGGTTAACATGGCTGTAGAGACTCTACTCAGCACCATGGAACTTGGAGAGATGTCCAGAAACACTCAAGTATCTACGACTTTTCAAGAAAGCTCAAGTGCACCCGAGGACTTTGCACGTCTCAGCCTCAAGGAAGCAACTCCAACCGAAACCCATTGTAAGTCTATTTCATTGGCAGGTATAGGAGCTAAAAACATCAAGATTTCAACAAAGAACACTTCAGAGCTGCAAGATACGTCCAAGACAAGCAATGGATCCAACAAGCTTCAAGTAGAACAAGAAGACAAGCTTGAAGGTAATCACGTGGAAACTCTTGAAGATCTTCATCAATTAGAGCTCAAAGGACTCCAAGAGGAGGAAACCATCAAGGAAATCAAGCTGGACGGACCAGACCCAGACAAGACTACTTCAGCCTCAAGCAAGCTCACTTCAAGCCAAAATCAGGTATTTTCAATATTTATGATTTGTGCAGGTAAGAATGAGTTCTCCTAGTGGTTTAAGCATCCCAAGAGACCAGGGAACGAGCCCCAGCAAGTGAGCACCGTAGTTAGCTTATTTTTGCTTATTTTCCATTTTTGTTGTTTAAGTACTTTCCTTTTCTTTTAATTTCGAATAAGTCCTGTTGCTGTGTCGTTTTTGGTTATTTGAGTCGCCCTAGGGCTAGCTGAAGAACCCTTTATAAGGTTCCCCTGCAGCTTTGTAACATTCACGCTTTTTCTCATATCAATAAAGTAGAACTTTCTTCCTCTCAAGCCGTCGCCTTGTAGAGACTATTGCTTGTTCTTAGGTTGTGTGATTCAACCTAAGCTCGAGTTTACCTTGCTGTATCAGAGATCCTTCCATCATCTCTGTGGTGCCATCGATCCACTTCACATCCATCCTTTTGATCTCACAAGAGAGAGCGTCACAGCCAGCTTGTTTGATTCCGCATCGACTTCAGGCCTCATCCCTTTGAGTCTTGTCGTATAAATTCACCCACTGAAACTTAAGAGAGTGCGCTACAGCCAGCTTAAGTTTCCCATCGATCCGCCTCGTATTCACTCGTCCACGCCTCAAAACATTAAGCTCGACCTCACGTCGAGTTAGCCGGTCGAGTCCACCACTCGAGTCAGTTCTTGCGCTCTTATAAGTCTCCTAACCGAGTCTTATATCATAAGATGTCATACCTGTCCAACTTTTAGCCATGAATGAGTCTTTACTCTAAGAGTTTTGAGCTTCCTGGAAATAAACCAGACATTGAGACAATCTCTTAGCAAAAGTGGATCAAAATTCAACTCAAAATAGAAAATACTCTACTCGAGAACGATGTTTAAAGCGAGCCAACTATCAAAAAGTTTCATTACGCATATTACTAGCTAAATTCTAAAGAGTCTTGAATCATTTTCATAAAACCTGAACTGCAAAATAAAGGGAGAACCAAAGCTAGATCTAGCAATTTGCTTGTCTTTTTGAGCCAAAATCTTCTATGTTCTGTCCTGGCTTATTGTTCCATTAACTTGCAGCTCTTCCAATATAAATTTGGCTCACCCACTTCCTACAACTACAATTAGATTGTTCCCAAAACCAACAAATCAATAAGATTTTTCTCAAAACCAGGAATTCAATTTCACAAGTAACAATGAATAAAATCGTGTTTCTTTACTTTCCATTTCAATGAAATATCGTTGGTAAGAATTGAGATGTTGATCTCGGGATACTCAACAAATCTTTCTTGCGTTTTCCCAATAAAATTGAATACAAAACAGATTTAAAAAATATTTAAGACCAAAATAGAAAGAATGAGAATCAAGGCTTTTTGGGTTTGTTACGGTCAACATTCTCGTTCTTCTTCTTTTTCTTTGTCAACTCTTTCTTATCTGCAAGAAACATGTGTTGTTGTTAGTGACTGACATAGCTCAATATGTTAATTCTGGCTCTTTGTTGTTTATATATATAGAGCTGTAAGTGACATAGATCAACATACTTATCTCCTGGATGCATATACGCCTATACGGGATGCCCTTGGAGAATCCATCAAGCCAAAATTTCTGAAAATTATTTCAAGGGTTAGAAGAAACCGGATTTTACAGAACAGACAAATACCTTTAAGATAAGTGCATGGGGATGAAATGACATAAATGACTTAGATAGAAAGATTAACATCCTATTGAACTAATTGAACTGGAAACATTTTGCAAAAATTCATATCACATTTTGACTGAGGAAAGCATGTGACTATAATAGATGATCTCTGACAAACTCTTTAGTTGGAGTAGATTTGAGATCGAATCTGATTTTTCCTGTTTTCAAATTTTAAGTACTAGAATAGAAAAAAGAAAGAAGCTCATAAGTAAGGTTTTCATCTCTGTTTTTTGCAAGGAAGTAAAAGAAAGATGGCAAAAGTAAAGCTAACCTCTGCAAGCTCAATCACTGTGAATTCTCATAGTTAGGTTACCATTAGCGCTACAAGTCCCTCCACCTAGAAAGAGAGATCTTAGTTAAATATATATTTTTCAATGCTTGGGAAAATCAATCATATTGCAGAACAGATTGAAACAGAGCTTGTTATGTACCAAGTCGGAAACATATTGAAAGCTAACGAAAACTACCTCTAACAACATTAACTCTATCTCATCTTCATTACGTAGATACAACTATTTTGCCTCCAAATAAACATATGTATCTTAAGCAAAAACGACAGTTTCTTGCAAACCATAACTCTATAAGAGAGGATTCAAAGAACTAACCAAACATGCATCAACTGTTCAAAGCAAGCCACCCCTCAACAAACTCCATAACGCATATAATTAGCTAGATATCTAAAATAATCATAAATTATTTTCACCAAACCTGAATTCCTTGTTATGCTTTCTCTCACTGATATATTTACTTTCCACCACTAAACCTGCATTTAGGACATAACCACCAACTTCACTCGATGCAAATTTTCACTTAAATGATACAACACATTCTCTGCAGCCAAACGAAATCAATGGTTTTTAACAAACCTAAATTAGGATTCAAATCTAAACAAAATAAACTTATAGTCCTGAAAGAAAACATACCTTCAGTGCTCAAAATCTTGGAGTCCTCTGCTGCTTGAAATAGAAACTAGGATAATCTAGCGAGTTGTCACTGTTAAGGAGATATGACATGAATCCATTCTTCTTGTATTCAGCTTCAAGCGTGTCAGTATCACCGTTAAGGCGATATGAAATGAAGCCATAATTCTCGTACAGTCACTCAATGGATCTTAGATTCAGCCCTATCAACTAGTCACATATAAGATCATTAACCCAAGTAAAAGAAAATTAAAAAAATATATATAGCACAACCAGTTTTGATCAGATAAACAACTTTGCCTGAAAAGTGTTCTTTAATTCAAACTAGTGCTTCTATAGAGATTGTGCTGCATATCACAGAAGAAATCCGTATAAACATCAACACAAAGTAAGGCACTATATTGAAAGTATTGTAGATAAAATCATTAAAGGTTTAAGAGACACTCCCATCATGTGGCAATCGATAATACATTTTTAAGAAATTCAAAGGCAGTTCGAGAAATTACCTGAAAACAAGCCATGAGGCACCAACAACACTACCACGTTGCCCGGCCACATGATAAATGACAAGGACTTAGGTGATTTACGAAAGCATATTTAGGTTGAAGTGAGTATTTATAAAACTAATGGAGCAATGAATAATTTGCTTGTCTTTTTGAGCAGAAATCTTCTCTGTTCTATCCTGGCTTAATTGAGCCTCTACCAATTGTCTCGAACACAAATACATAAGCATCATATGGTCGGGCCGTTGATTAATTTGGTGATGACATTTCTTTACAAACACCATGATTGTCTTTTTATCACTACAACCTTTCTTCTTCTTTTCCCCCTTCTTTTCTTCTTCACTTTGTGTAGAAAGCAAAAGTCTGTGGAGCAACATAAATGCTCGCTCTCAAAGCAATCACCAAATGCAAAGAAATTTACTGGATATGTAGAGAAATGTGACAAACGCATACAGAGACAGAGGCGATCATTTGGACATTCAGAGTTAACGGAAAATCATATAATAATAAAGTCTTTACATTGGCTTAAAAAAAAAGAAGGATGAAGAAGAAACCATTCTCCATCGGGAAACGAACAGAACATGGCAGAGCTTGCACTCTCGACTCCATGGTGGCAACAAGAAGTACTACACATATAAACAGAAAACAAAACAATCACGGAGCCAAAATGTATATTAAAGAATCAAACCAATGTTAATGTCACTCCAGTTGTAACCTTAAACAAATAGAATACGTAGATAGGAATAAAGGATATTTATTGGGCCAGCTTCCTCTCTTCTCATCCAAGACACAACATGAAGAAGTGTTGATAAAGCTGCAGCTCCTTCAGTTAAAGCAAAGAGCTTCTAAGTCAACAGATCAAGAACATGGGACACTAGTAGCTGTGATTTGCTAAACATGTCATAGTAAAAGGCAACTAGCAAAATCCATGACAGGAGACCTCATTTAACATGAGATCCATAGCCTTTTGTCTTCACGGAAGTTCATGATATGTCAATAGCTTCATATTTGTATCAGAAAGAAACATCAAAAAAAGGAGTTTATACTATTTACATGAGAGCTTATTTCCCGGAAGAAGAATTAAATGCAGAAGTCAAGGCAAATAAAGCAGCAGGCACTTTGCCTTGGTCCTTGGTTACCACTGCTAGACCCTGCAGCAGAAGGGTAAATTGTACACAAACGTTTCAACATCAGTTTTTCCATTATCATATCTGTTCTTACCAGCTACTATTGTACATAAAGCAAGGAAACATAAAACACATGCATGAAGTATCTCCAGAACGTGCACCAAGTAATAATGCTGCCTTCTTCTGGAAGGAATTCCCTTGCACCTGTGTTACAAGTAAACATACCAAAGCTAAACTTAATGAGAAAAAGAAGTCGAAGTTAACGAAAAACGGAATTGGCATTTGCATACAGTGTAACATACTTAATTGCTTTTAAATGAGTATATTCCCAAACCCTCTCTAACACAATCACATTAACTAGCACCATACTTAAAAATAGACCACATTCTCATGCTAATAACCTAAAAGATATCTGAGATCAGAAAACCTTACAGTAGCTTTAGTAGAATACCATGAAAAATGAGTGGTGAAGAAGCATGGCTCATTTCCCTCTGTGATTTCCTATAATGGAACTTTTGGGGACAAGCCGTTCAGAGAACCAACCAGATCTATGTATCTCTGCACAAAACTGTACAAAGAGGAAACAAGGTAGAAAACGAGGAGCAATAACTTATGCTGAGAAGCAAAACTGATGAAGCATATTACTTGGCTAATCTCAAAACTTTATGTTTGTTTTTCCTTTGGGTCCACACATTGACCAACCCACATAAATGCATTTCTTCCCTCTAGAGATCCAAAGTTGTGAATCTCTCCAACTGTGCACACATCTTGATAACTGATAAGAAAACGTTGCATAATTTTTCTAAATTCGCACCTGAAATTTTCCTAAGGATCCATGTAGAAAAGAAGAAGACAAAGTTAAAATTTTCCTGATGCTTTGACCCTAATAATTAATGTCCGAATTTCAATCACCTCTGCTGAAGGAAAAGGAGAACAAGTGAAAATCCCTAACAGTCTCGGAGGAAACCATCTGCTGGTGAAGTTCTGTTTTCCCCCAAGTGCAAACCAAAAGAATGAGCTCCTTGTCCCTCTTTTGCGTGCTTGACAGTAATCCCATGCAAAAAAAAGATGGTTAAATTTACCAATTGAAGACTGTGATAAGAAGTACGAGTAATAAGCTTTATAAAAATTATATAGGCTCTACTTAGACAATTTCAGCTAAACTAAAATCAAAGATAACACCATTAGAAACTACCTTTAAGAATTCAGTAACTTTAGCAGCCACTCTTGCTGCTTATGCGTACTATGGTTTCCATGCCGAAGTTTTGAACAGTCTAAAGTAGAAAGCACTTAACAAGAGAGAAAGTAAGGTAGAAAATTACCGCTTTAAGTTGTAGTGCCTTATTATTGTGAACTCCAGTTCTAGATACTTGAAAAAGTGCACTGATTCCGGCGTGTAGCGGTGTAGGTTTCGTCTGATGAACCTTTCTCTATCATTCTGTTTTTGTAACCAGAGCTCAAACCACCCTAAAAGATAATATATTTTCTTCCAGCAACAATCAAAAGAAATACCTTAAGGACCACCATATGTTGAAAAAGTGCAACAAATTGTGGAGGCTCTTTACCCTCAAATATATGGGCCTGCAAGAAGATCACGTTATTTATTGAATCTTTCAGTGGCTATTACTTATAATAATAAAACAAGGTACCTGTAGTGCTCTTCCCTTAAACAAATATGTCATTGTGCTCGCTAAACGAGCTGCTGTTTCTTGATCCTCCTAAAGTCGGGAGAAAACAAAAGTTAGATGGCTAAATTCAACATGTTCAAATATATACATAAAGCCATAAACTGAATAGATGAAATCCATCACAATATGTACTCAAACTTAAAAAAAGGGAAGATAATAAACAACTTCCATGTGAATGTGAATATACCACAAAAGAAACCAGAAACTTCAGTCTCCTGCATCCACGCAAGTGTAAAATAACACAAGATTAGTAATCAACATAAACATGAAAACCACAGATGCAATATAGATCCTGGAAAAGAAATCACTCAAAGAACAAATATGCTTACTAGAAACTGAGCTGCATAAAAACTGAAATTATCCAAAATCAAACCAAGTAAAAAATAGAATCTAACATCTAATAACGCTAACAAAATCAATGACATAAACCTTGAGAAAGAAGTAGCCAAACCCTTAAAAAACCTGACTCATATATGAGAAGTCAAACTTCTTGAGAAAGAAGTAGCCAAATGGTTTGCGTTCTGGAAGAACTCATATATGAGAAGTCGTTCTTCTCCTTCTAAGTAGAAACCTAAAAGCCTAACAAGATTACGATGTTGAAGTTTCGCAACCAATGAGATTTCGTTTACAAACTCATTGTCTCGTTTTCCTGATTTCATTAACAATCTTTTCACAGCTATCTCTTCCCCAGAATCTGGTGATTACTGAAACACATGTTATGAAATTGAATCATCAAAAAAAAAAGTCTAAATTAAGATCATAAACATAAGAAACTACACCAAATCCACTCACCAAGCTGGTTGTTTGGAGAGAAGTCATTAGTTGCAATAATTGTGCATCTTTAATTTTATGGTCTTTGACATCTTTGCTTGATCCTAAAGCAATAAAAGCAAAAGGGTGTTTAAAGTTAAAACTCTCAAGAAAATAGTTTTAACCTAAAGATTCGACTTTTCGAATAAACGTTTTACCTTCAAGTCTCTATTTTTGCTTTCTTCTATTCCTGTCAATAAGAAGTAAAGACAGACTACGGCAAAACCAATAACAGAGCAATCCGTGGCAATAATGAATTTACCTTTTCGGCAAAACAAAATTTAATTTTTAAAATCTAAGAGCACTTTAACCAGGACTAGTCCCATAACATCTCTTCCTTTTCAATCCCGTAACACACTCTCTGCCTTTCATGAGTCACCAAAGTTTTGTAGAACCAGAATTTTAACCATAGATCATGAAAGAAACACATAATGGGAAAGCGAAATAAGTCTGAACGGAACACATGAGCATACAAGAGAGACTTCATGTAACAAGAGAATCCTCCGACAACCAGAAGTCAATCTGCAAAGAGGAACAAATAACTGATACCAAAACAATTATAATAATAAGAAGTAATTTAAATAAAAAGAGAAGCCTCCAACAAGAATATGTGACTATGATTTATATTCTAAGAAAACGTTTAGTCAAACCCATCCTCCTAAAGCAAGAGGGAAAACACGAACGCTCTATAATAAAGAGAACATAACACAAAGAAGTGAACCCACATTATCAAGAGCCGAAAAAACTGATCTATATATACAATCACTTTTGCCTACTAATCACAAAGAACTTCCAACATAACATTCTCTCTGAAGAAGAGAAGGAACCTGAAAATCCATATCTTGGAACATCAAAATCTATACGTATCTAGAATCATCAACAACCTGTAACCAAGATATGTAACAAATATATTAACCAAAGCAGCTTAGATATCAAACAATGAAACTGATCCAAAGACAATCGCTTAAAAACCCAGTGAAAGAATTACAGCGAGATTGTTAGCAAATGTAACTAATAGCAAAACAATTACTAGTATACCCTACATGCTATCAAATCACAATATTAATTTCGATCAAATACTGATAAAGGCATGAAATAAGATGACCTTTTAAACCTCTTCCAAAACTAATTCATATATATACACCCTGACTTTCATTTACCAATAACATGCAAAAAAACCTATATGCAGTGTTAAGACCAGAAGCACAACCAAACAAAAAAAACTTTCCAGTTTCACTAGAGAGAAGACCAATATGCAGAGCAAAATCAGGCAAGGTGATTGCACATAGAAAGATTTATACGCACTAGCTTCTTTCTTTCTAAAACAAAAGAATAACAATTTATATCAAACATCTGAGATATCCAAAAAAAAAAAAAAGATAAAACCTGTAACCACATACATTATTCAAAAGGATCATCGGTTGGCTGTTGCTGAAACTCCCAGTACCAACACCAGCTTGCTGCCAGAAAAAATTTATATCAGCATATTTGTAAATAGATACTGTAATTTCAAACTTAGACGATCATCTCATGTCAGTGTAGCATCAAACCACTGTAAAATTAACAACTTCCATGTGAATGTGAAGATACCACAGAAGAAACCAGAAACTTCAGTCTCCTGCATCCACGGAAGTGTAAACTAACACAAAATTAGTAATACATAAACATGAAAACCACAAATGCAATATAGATCCTGGAAAAGAAATCACCCATGAAACAAGTAAGGTTCTTATAAACTGAGCTGCATCAAAACTGAAATTATCCAAATCAAACAAAGTTAAAAATAGAATTTAATATCTTATGAAGCTAACTATCACTGATGATCTGTTAGAATTGAAACCATTCCTAGAGGTATTTGAACCGGCTAAGAACTTGAAGACTACATCTCTTGACCTGACTTAGCAACCCCAAAAGAACTGACATAAAAATATTTGGTAGAAATGTGGAATCTTGTCAAGGTTTGAAACGTATCTTGCTACAATCTGGAAAACATAGAAGCCTATAGTAAAAAGGAGAATTGAGTAAGCAAACATTTACTAGAAGTTACTAGCTCCCCTATTCGGAAAAGATAAAATCAATTAAAGTAGGTATAAACATAGGAAACGCGTAAAACCCTTTAGCACAAATATTGATCACATGTATACCAAATATTATGTAGAGAAGTAGGAACCTATTTGAATCTGACTAAAACAAATAAAATGATACAAATGAAAACTCACCTATCCCATAAGAACTTAATCCTAGGAAATGATGACGCTTAATAAAGTAGGAACGCCTAAAAGCATACCCTAAGAGGACCGATGTTTCCTCTCTACGATGTAAAACTCAATAATGTATTACAAAAACATAAGTAAGAAGCATTAAACAGAAAAAGCTGTATCATTTCAAAGAAATCAAGCTAAAAAAAATGGCTAGTAATAGAAAATAATTCAGTAAAAACGGTTCAAAAGGAACATATCTGAATGAACTTCAGCTCATGTTGCAACCAAATAAATATTCAGTAGTGCTAATTTTCAACAGCTATTGAACCAAGTATTGAAAAACAAAAGAAAGAAAAACTCTACAGATTAGCTACACTTACCTGGCGAATAAAAATTAAATTTATTAAACAAGAAACACCACATAAAAACGTTAAGCGTTAAAAAAAAAAACAGATTCAACACATCACAAAAAAAACCCTTAACAAATCATTTTTGATTTGTGGCGGAAAGTGTCGGACAACCTTAACAAATCATTTTTGATTGGTTGTGTTGGAAAGTGTCGGACAACCTTAAAGAATGATTTCTGAACCCTTCAGAAGAAGGATGAACAATTCTGAACCCTTCAGAAGAAGGATGAATGATTCTTAAAGAATGATTTCTGAACCCTTCAGAAGAAGGATGAACAACTCTGAACCCTTCAGAAGAAGGATGAATGATTCTGAACCCTTCAGAATATAAGGACGAATGATTTCTGAACCCCCTAGAAAAAGGATTTCTGAATCATTTGTTAAGGCTTGTAGTAACGTTTCGTGTTTTTTACTTTTACGACGTAGATTTTTACTTGTACTTCAATCTTTTTTTTACTTGTACTTGTACTTCAATCTCTATTTTAATTTTTTAGCTGTCAATGACTATGAACCACCTCCCATTACCTCGTGATTCTTCATGTGTTCGAGGAGAATTTAATTTGACAAAATATTTTAATTTAAATTATTCACCAAACTAACTAATGGAATAAAAACATTTTTCAACTAATAAACTTTTATAAAAGCTTTAATTTAAAAATTAAATTTATTAAACAAGAAACACCACATAAAAACGTTAAGCGTTAAAAAAAAAAAAACAGATTCAACACATCACAAAAAAACCCTTAACAAATCATTTTTGATTTGTGGCGGAAAGTGTCGGACAACCTTAACAAATCATTTTTGATTGGTTGTGTTGGAAAGTGTCGGACAACCTTAAAGAATGATTTCTGAACCCTTCAGAAGAAGGATGAACAATTCTGAACCCTTCAGAAGAAGGATGAATGATTCTGAACCCTTCAGAATATAAGGACTAATGATTTCTGAACCCCCTAGAAGAAGGAGAAACTATTCTGGAAGCCTCTACTGATGGAGCATCTCTATGCTGAGCGTCAGAAGAAGGATGAACAATTCTGAACCCTTCAGAAGAAGGATGAATGATTCTGAACCCTTCAGAATATAAGGACTAATGATTTCTGAACCCCCTAGAAGAAGGAGAAACTATTCTGGAAGCCTCTACTGATGGAGCATCTCTATGCTGAGCGGTTTAGTGTAGGGTTTAGAAATCATTCTTCCTGAATGTAGTGTAGGGTTCTCTGCAAACCCTAAACATCCATCCACTGAATCAGTGATTTGGATCATCACATCCTTAGATTCTTGTGTTGATGAGCATTGTCTTTTGTTTCATAGGAATCATGTGAATCGCCATAACCACATATACTTTGTTCTCTCAATTCATGTGAGTTTGATTCAATTCTTTAGCTGTATTCATAAATGCTCACGCATTACGTAATTATGTTGTATATAAGAACTCACGCACGTCCTAAAGAAAGTAGCAATGTCGTGAATAAAGAAAAAGGTAACTAAACAAAAAAAAATTTGATTCGAATATAAGAAGATGGTTTAGGAGATGAGAGAGTAGAGAGTGAGAGTATGACTTCATCATATAGTTAGCAGCCACTTCCTTCACTTTGTGGATGATGTTAGATCTGCTTGGAAAACGTTGATCCGTTGTAGAAATTTGACCTAGCTTTTTGTCCGTCGGGATACGGTTCGGTTCGGTATAAACCCGACTCGAACAGAACCATTCGGGTTGGAAAACAACTCAACCAAAAACAACTCGGTTTACTGCGATTTCATTCCCTTTTACGAATCAATTGCTTCAGTTTGGTTTGGTATTTTTCATTTCCTTATTGTTGTGACATCGATTCTTTGTTGTTTGTGTTAGGAAAATAGATGCATAACTACCTATTTTGTGATAGAGCATCCCAAAAACTATCCTATCGTTTTTCTCATCATATATGGGAGGTGGTTCATCTCATTCACTAAAAATCCATCTTCTCTGTCTTTATCTTTTTTCTACCTTCTCGGTCTCTTTTATTTAGTCTCAAGCAAAAATGGAAGGACGTACGAAGCTTGACACTTTCCACCACAACCAATCAAAAATCATTTGTTAAGGTTGTCCGACACATTCCGCCACAACCAATCAAAAATCATTTGTTAAGGTTCAGAATCATTCATCCTTCTTCTGAAGGGTTCAGAATTGTTCATCCTTCTTCTGAAGGGTTCAGAAATCATTTGTTAAGGTTGTCCGACACTTTCCACCACAACCAAGAGTGAGAAAAACGAAAAGCACGAATATAAGAAGATGGTTTAGGAGATGAAGAGAGTAGAGAGTGAGAGTATGACTTCATCATATAGTTAGCAGCCACATCCTTCACTTTGTGGATGCTGTTTTCTAGTTGCAACTTATCTTCATACGATAGTCTCAAGCGAGCCACACAGAATCATTCATCCTTCTTCTGAAGGGTTCAGAATTGTTCATCCTTCTTCTGAAGGGTTCAGAAATCATTTGTTAAGGTTGTCCGACACTTTCCACCACAACCAATCAAAAATCATTTGTTAAGGTTGTCCGACACTTTCCGACACTTTCCGCTCCCCCGAGACGTAGCGGTTAAGCCGTGAACTCGGTTATCAATTTCTGTGTTTGTTTCTCTTACAAGCAACCGTTCAGTTTCGTTTTCTCTACAGTTTCTCTTCCCCAAGTGTTGATTTCTCTTCCTAGGTTATTGTATGGATCGTAGATCTGCTTGGAAAACGTTGATCCGTTGTAGAATGCTGATGGTTTTTGTCGTTTGTTTGGAAAAAGAAAACGAGGAACCCATGTGCCGGAAAGACTCCTCCGGAATAAACTGCACCATCACACAAAAGTTGAAAATATATCATAAAACAAACTAACATCAGAGGTAAAAAGTCATGACTTGCCTCAGTTATCCCCTTCAAATCAGATTTAACTTAGAAATGCTGATGGTTTTTGTCGTTTGTTTGGAAAAAGAAAACGAGCTTAAACGGAGTCTTCCCGGCACGACTATAGCGAAACGTAGACGCGCCAGGAATACTCTCTTTTTAGTAGTACTTGTTTTGGTACAACTCTTAACAACATCTCCAAACTTTAGATATTTACGTGTGAAAAAAATTGTAATGGGTATCAGTGCCCAGCCCTAGTTCACACAACACCTAGCTAATTGTTATAACAAAATAGAGAAAATTAATACTCTGCATTATGCTCACTTGCATGTAAATATCTAAGTTTCTAGGTCGACTAATGAAAAATCCAAAGGTTAACCAGCCAGCCAGAATTCATTCATTTCCCCAGTAGAGTCCTCCAAATTTTGCACTTCATCTATGTGGTTAGTGTTTATAGAGCTAATTCATTATTCATATCTGGTTAAGGAACCCATGTGCCGGAAAGACTCCTCCGGAATAAACTGCACCATCACACAAAAGTTGAAAATATATCATAAAACAAACTAACATCAGAGGTAAAAAGTCATGACTTGCCTCAGTTATCCCCCATGTGCCGGAAAGACTCCTCCGGAATAAACTGCACCATCACACAAAAGTTGAAAATATATCATAAAACAAACTAACATCAGAGGTAAAAAGTCATGACTTGCCTCAGTTATCCCCTTCAAATCAGATTTAACTTAGAAATGCTGATGGTTTTTGTCGTTTGTTTGGAAAAAAAAACGAGCTTAAACGGAGTCTTCCCGGAACGACTATAGCGAAACGTAGACGCGCCAGGAATACTCTCATTTTAGTAGTAGTTTTTCTGGTACAACTCTTAACAACATCTCCAAACTTTAGATTTTTACTGTTGATCAAATCTTTTTCTGAAGTGATGCTAGTTTTTCTTGGGCTTTTGTTATCCTAGTTTTTTTTTTTTTTTTTTTTTGTTAGGGCTTTGTTGGCCCATGTATGATATGTTTCATCAATAAAATCCCACTTGTGAAAAAAAAAACAAAAAACGACATTCATTATTCACTTCTCTCCCAAAAAATCGCTGAAACGACACGATTCTGTAAAATGAAGCCGAACGGTCAGATGGTGGTGAGTTTATTGATGGTGAGAGGCGAAGTTCTACGAATCTTATAACTTCTGAAAAACACTTCCTTCTTCTTCCTTTTCCTCATTTCTCCGAGGGATTTTCTAGGGTTCTGTTCTTTTTTCTCTGTGGCTTTGTTTTACTAATTCTTTTGGTTGGCTTCTGACAAATCCGTAAGTCTTACGGAGTATTCTTGTCGTTGTTGCTTTTTTCTTTTTCAGGATTGGAAAAACACAAGTTCCGTCGAATGTTTCAGTATCTTGGATTTGTAAAGATATGGCGAAAATGAGTGAGTTGTCTGATGACTTGCTGGTGATGATATTGTCGTTTCTTCCAACAAAAGTTGCTGTATCCACTAGCGTTTTGTCTAAACGATGGGAGTTTCTTTGGATGTGTTTGCCTAAACTTGAGTATGATGATATCAATGACATCAATGTTTCTGAATTGTCTTCATGCCAGAGGTATAGAAATTTTATTGACAAGAATCTGGCATTATACAGAGCTCCGATCATTGAAAGCTTGCGGCTCAGATTTCTTCATGATGTAATTTGCCCTGAGGATATCAAACGTTGGGTTGGTATTTCAGTTTCTCGCCGTGTTCAAGAGCTAAGTATAATCTATATTACTACCTGTAATGAACCTGTGTTATTGCCGAATAGTTTGTATACCTGCAGTTCGCTTGTGGCTTTAAATCTTAGCAGTAGGGTGATTCTTGTGGAAGTTCCTGGTATGGCTTATCTCCCGTCCTTGAAAACCTTGCAAATCAGTGAGGTGACATACTCAACCGAAGAATCTCTTGAGCTGCTTCTGTCCTGTTGCCCTGTTCTGGAAGATCTGAGTATTGAACGATATAAGAATAACAATGTGAAAGGGTTGGTTATTATTGTCCTGTCCTTGCAGCGTTTAACCTTAGAGATAAGCAGTGAATGTTTTTCTGATGAGGTTGTGATAGTAACTCCTCCTTTAAAAT